CTCCCGTGAAGCAACGGAGCCGAAAAACAACGACGGAAGGGGAAGATGAACGGCGAACCCTAGACGCTTGTGCGAAGCAACGAAGTCGAACAGCGATGAGGGAACCGAATGAGCGAGCGTAAGTTTTTTTTTTCACGAGATTCCTTCCTTTTTATCACTTTGAATTGTCGGTGCCTCCGAAGAGGTGCGTTTTTTCGGCGAGATGGGGACGGCTTGAAGGTATGTCGGTTGCTTTGAAAAGAAATTTTTTTTTTATATTTTTTTGTACAGCCAACAATCCATTATGTATATTCATTAGTATATATTTCTAGGGTGTCAATTCAGATCAACGGGTCGGGTTTGGGTCGAACCTGGAACTGACTCGGCACTATTCTGGTCAACCCGAACCCGACCCGTTTTTAAAAATGGGTCAGGTTTTCGGACCTGAACCTGACACGATTCGGGTCCGGGTCAACCCGACCCGACACGAATGACCCGGGGTTGACCCAAAATTGCTAGTTTTCTGGTAAAAAATTGGGTAAATCTTCGAATTTCGGGTCAAAATGGGTTTTCGGGTCAAATACGAATTTTTGAGTCAATTTCGGGTTGCTGGGTTAACTCGAACCAATCATTAAAAAAGCGGACGAGACGTCCGCATTAAATCACGCCTCAAGTCGAGGGGGAAGTGGTGTATATAGGGTCATGCATATCGGGGTTTACGCCTTGAACCATTCAGCGAAGCGTACGATTTTTTTGCACGAGGCGTACACATCAGAGCGTAACGCCTTGAGGCAGTACGAGGCACAACCTCGAAATTTTATATTTGGTACATATGTAAATACGACGCAGCCGATTCGTGTTTGCGTATAGGATTAGGGCTTCCTGTGAGAATTGAAAGACGAACTGGAGGCGAAGTTGTGAGGGAAAGAGACGAAGCCATGAGGGAAGGAGACGAAGCCGTGAGTACAGGAGACGAAGTTGGAAGGAGACGACGCATGAACCCGAACCCGACCCGTTTCGGGTCCGGGTTGACCCTAACCCAGATTTTTTTGGGTCGAGTTCAGGTCGTGTTTCGGATCGTGTAAAAAATTGACACCCCTATATATTTCTATTTGAACAGCTAAATTAGATTATTTACTTCTAATTATACTACCCATCATAATAATAATTATTTATTTAATCTAATTAATTATAAATAATTTAAATTATGTTAATTTAGATTAATTTCTAATTTAGACCGAGTCCGCCTGGGGTATGCTTTTCATCTTCTCTATTTCTTCGTTGTTGTTACTTTTCCTCATCGCCATTTCTTCGTTGTTGCTTTGACCTCGCGTGCTTCGTGTAAACTTTGAAGGCTTCATGTGAAATTGTGTTGATAGAGTCGCTGAAGGAGCTGCTTCACCTCCTTTAACAATGTCAGATTGGATGATGTAGAACGAACATCAAGATTTGATGTACTGGAGCTTCTGGCAACCAGTGACGCCTTTCCGGAGGACTAGACAGCAAGGATCCTGGCTCGAATTTTCTGGCATGCAAGGGAAAAGCCGTCTAGTAAGCGGAGCAGTGAGTATCCCTGCTGAAATTTGAGGACAGCAGAGAGAAATCTGCCTACAAGAATTCTGGACAGCAAGGAGAAGCCACGAGACATTCAGGACAACACTTAATCTCCTTCGGGACATCAAAGGATAGGTTTTTGTATGCAGGACAGCAAGCTTGCAATGTGAAAACCTGCAGGAATTGGTGTTGGGGGAGATGAAATAAGGGCTTGGTCAACTAGTTTAAGGGAAGGAGATGGGGAAGTGGCTGGCAATAGGGAGGAGGGGAAAAAGGAATTTAATTCTAATAAATTTGAACTTGAATAGGGAGGAAAACGGATTCAAAAGTCTGACAATAATCTCAGCCTTAAGGGAAGGAATTAATTGGGCTTTGATTGATTGATTTGAGGATCATTAATGGGCCTAGGAATTAATGGGGAAGATTTGAATTGGGGAGAGAGGGAATTGGGGAAAGCTTTAGTTACTTGCCTCTTTGAGAACCCCAACTTAAGAAAAGGAAATTAATTCCAATCTAATTTATTTGTTAATTTGAATTAGATTGGAGGATTTTCCTAAAATAGAATCCTATTTAAGGAAATAATTCAAATTTCAAATTTGGATTGGAAGAATTGAAAGGAAATATTTCCCAAATTAATTTTGCAAGAAAAGGAAGGGAATAAAGGAGGCATTAATGAGGCATTCAAAGATTTCCTAAATTAATAAATTAAATTTGGAATGAAAGATTTCATCCTAATTTAACTCAAAATTTAAATAGGCTATGAATTAGTAAGTTTCCTAAAATATGATTTATAAATTAGGCAACTATTCAAATTCTAATAGAATTGAATTTGATCATTAAGATAGTTACCTAAAATATGAAAACTAATTTAGGAAAGGCTTAATGGCAAGGGGGTTGGGAGGGAAACCAATGGGAGGGCCGACGGCTTGTGGCTTGGCCGTGAGTGGTGATGGAGCTAAGGCCAGTTTGGTGGAAGTAGGGAGAGGATGAAGATGGCGACTAGAAGCAACAAGAAGGAATAAAAAACAAAGAAACACAAGATAAAAGATAAAACCGCGAGCCTTGGACTCTTCCGAAGACTGACGGGTGATCCGTTGCCCTTATCTAAGGGACTTCAAGCCACGAGCCCGGATCCATCCCGCGGCTGGTGAAAACTCGGATTCCTTCCCATAGGAATCTCACTATCGTCCTCCCAAAAGAGCACAAGTGTAGAACACATTTTTATTATAATTCCATCATGCCTAATACAAGAGAAGGGGCCTCTATATATAGGCCTCAAAAGAAACTAAAATACACATTTGCCCCTTGGGCTTACATAAGACATGACTCTTAAATAAAAGGGTAAAAAGGGAAAATTAAAAAATTAAATCAAAATACAATTAATAAACTAAAATAGAACGGAGTGATCTCGACTGTTGATCTTCGACTCTTCCTGTGAATATCGTCCATCGTCGGATGTCCGTATCATCGGAAGTCATGACGGGAGCTCGGTTGTTGCAAAAGAAATAATCTTTATCCCTTTCGCCTTCTTCGACCAAATCTCGTAAATCTGTCGAATTCCAGAATTTAGTAAATCTGGGATTTAGGCCAAAAATCGGTGCACAACAGATTAATCTGGTAGTGAGAATTACGGGACTCAAGTCTCGTTTGGCAGGATTTATACTAAATCGTAATTAAATTCTGCACAAATGTTGTTGTCAAACAACCCTAAATACTAGATGTTCAAAAACAGAATTTGAGAATGTTGAACGGACTAAAAATAAACTGAAGTTTGGCTCTAACAATCGTGCAACACTTCAAAAAATAAGTCATTATTTTCTCTTGAAAATTCACAATCTTTCTTTCAAGTGCAAATTCAAATTCTCATTAACTCTAACAAAATAAGATAGGAAGTTTTCTGTGTTGCTATGGTTTCCCATTCTACCGTTGAAGTTAGATTTTTACAAAATTGGCTTCTACATAAATTACGCCAACTTTAGATTACCCCCAGACCTCTTTGGTATTAAAACTGCAAGTGTTTTCAGCTTGATATTTCCATAGAAAAGGCATTTACTCATTCTCGCATTTAGTCAATATTCCCACGACTACTTCAAGTGATCTTTTACTACTCCGAAAACATAACACTAGAGAACAATTTCTGCAGACAGATATTTGGAAAACCATCGAACCCAATAGGAAAAATCTCTCCTGTTCAAGCCATTTCAAATACTTCAATAAGCAGATGAAGAAGTTTGCACAATAAAGAAAGCTCTCCTGCACTTCCACCAGAATGGCACCCAACTTAACCTTTTTTTCTGGAATGTGGTTATAACAAAACAAAAATTGAACTGTATAGTGGAACTTCATTCATAGTGTCTAGCAAGAACATTTGTGTCCAAAGAAATGCCCACCACATATGGAATGAAGACGAAAATTTATACAATACCTGTTTTCTAAGGCCTCTAGGTAGTTCATACAATAGTAATCAAGTAGACATCATCAAAAGAATATAATAGCTACAAAATTTCCTAGTACTTAACATCGCTTGCCATAGAGGATAAATGGAAAAAGCATAGGATGAAATTTTTGCATGTAAAACAGAATGTATAGCAAACCTCTAGGTTAGTACCCTAACACTTAAATGTTGAAAACATATCCTGTATGTTTCCACCTGGATTTTTTAGTTTTGACTATTATATGTGGGGAGACGGCTAAGTACTCTCCTAATATTGATGACAGAAAATGAATTACATGGTTTCAAACAATCAAAGAAGTGGACCTACAAAATAACACAAAATTATAAAAAACAATGTATCCTAATTCTAAAGAGCAATTTACTAAAGCACATAAACAAGATATTGTAAAATAACAAAAAGCATTTCAGGATAGTCAAAATTGAATGTAGCTATATAATGACATGTTAAGAGGACAGGAAATGAAACCTGATATCTATCCCAAGTCTGCTTGTAACCTAGGACCACACGGCTCACATACACTATAAGTGCAGTGGTGCCAATTACATCAAGCAAAACTGCAGATCTGGATAAGAATTTATATCATATTATTGCAGATCACCGAAGGAATAACCACAATGAAATATCAGAAAATTGGAAATAAACAGAATAAGAAAGATATCAATGTACAATAACAACAAGATTTTCTTTTTTTTCTTTTACATTGTACCACCTTGTCCAATCCAGGTTCAACAACATAATTCCCTGAGAATGAACATATCCTCGTGATCCATATACATTTAGATGGGCCACGTAGAAGAATACAGAATCAAACTAAACAAGAAAATAAAAAATATAAACAGAAAATTTGCCAAATTTATAATCTCAAAGCTATTTAATTTTAAAAAAACACTGTTTTTACTAAATTAACATAAATCCCACTTTGTAATGCTATAATTGTAGAAAAGACCAAAATGTTGACCCGCCAGCATGATGGAAGTCCATGGTTGGGGTTGCATGGTGAGTTTTTAATTTTTTGGTTGACAAAACTTTAACGATACTAGGTCATAGCTTAATCAGCTGAGCTTCACTGCCAGGTAAAGAAATATATATAATTAACTTTGCTTCTACCAAACCTGTCCACATAAGCAGTTATGAACAGCATTTGCCCCAATGGAGCCTATATTAGCCTCAATGAGAATTCTAGGCTCATTTGATATCCCTCTAAAATCAAGAGCTCTTAACTTATGATGCACCGACACTTCTCCTCAAAGAGGCATGCAGTATCCGACATGCATCAGACACATCATGAATTTGACGTGCCTTTAACATGTGTTAGACACATCAAAGGCGTGTCCAGTTAAATAATTATAAAAACTAACTTGGACATGTGCCTAAAATATTTTATAAATTTTTTTTAGATATAATTTATAGTATGACATTTTTTATTTAGTAAAAATAAATAAATTTCTTATTTCATCTTCAAAGCCCCAAATCAATCGCTCACACTTAATACCCCATTCCCTAAACATTCCCATTTTCATTTCTCTTTGGCATATCGCGACTAGAGTTTCGCAATGCCCGATGACATCTCAATATCGACATCCAATGCCCTCACAACATCAATATTTCAAAATAATATTAACAACAAAATCTGCATTGTGTTGACATTTACTATAAAAGTGATGGATAGGCCGATTTGTTTGGGAAGGAATTAGGAAGTTAATTGAGAGGGAGTTGTTTAGGAAGGTTCTTAATCAAAGGGGAATTATTTAGGAAAATTTTAACTATAATTGGGAGGGAACTATTTAGGGCAATAGATCTAATTTGAATTAAAATATGAGATAGAATTATTTAGGCAAAGGAGCACTGATTTGGGAGGGAATTAGGGGAGCATATTTAAGGCTAACAATAGGGTGATTTCAAAACTATGTTTTGACTTTGCTGAAATTAGAATTTCTTAGGTTGTGAGGGCTATAGTTGCCGGGTAGGGATTTGAGAGAGCCGGATCTTCCTCTCCAATTGAAGATCCAACTGTATCTTGTTATTTTCTTTCATATATCTTGAGAAAAAAAAAATTCTTGTGTGTTCTTCTCCCTAAATTTCTTGTGTCGTTCTTTAGTTTTGCTAAAATTGCATCACTTCCTATCAATTGGTAGCAAAGCAGTGTCCTGGGCTGAAAGTGAAGCTTTTCCTTGCCAATTTTTGCTGCGTTTTCCCCTCAAAAATGCTGATTACAGCTGTTTGAAGACTAGAATTACTATTTTTTGCTGTTTGGAGTCTTGATCCTGGTACCTATGGCGGGAAGAAAGGTAGAAGTGTTGGAGGGGGAGATCGGATAATTGAAATCTGAAATTTCGGATCTCCAAAATCAATTTTCATATTTCAAAAGTCCAATTTTAGCTATCCATGAGAAGATCAATGAGAAAGTTTCCATCTTGGAGGAGATGTTGAAGAAGTTGCTCGAGGGTCAACCCAAGACGGCGTCATCAGAGGTGAGGGTAGCCACCGGCAGTCAAGGAAGTGGGAAAAACCCTAACCCGATAAGGCAAAAGGAAGATCAAGAAGTGGAGATTTTGGAGGGAGAAGAGAAAATGCCTCTCCTATAGCCTATTCCTAGGGAGTAGTTGGGTAGAGGGTATGGGGAGAGGTGTGAAGGGGGTAAGGCATGAATGAAGGGGTGCTGAATTTGAGAGGAGAGTGATAGAATTTGAAAGGAAATGGGCTGATTATAACCAAAGGGGTGTTGAATTTGAAAGGAAAAAAGCTTATTATGATTCCAGGGGTAGATATACAGGGTGGAAAGGTCATTTACCGTCAATAGGTTGACGGAGGAGGAGAGAATAACGACTGCCAGAATGTGCTTGGAGGGGAAAGTCTTAGCATGATATGTGTGGAGGGATACGAGGCGACCCATACTAACCTGGAGAGAGTTTAAGGATGGCTTGTTGGAGCGTTTCCGAACCAGCAGGGGAGGGGACTTTTATGAGTAGTTCTTCACCCTAATGCAAGAGAGGACAATGGTGGAGTATCGTGAGATGTTTGAGAATCTGGCCAGCCTGCTGGACCAGCTTCTAGAGATTGTTCTAAAGGGGAACTTTATGAAAAAATGAATCTTCTAGAGCAATGTTGCCAGAAAATCTGAAGGAAAATTTTTCGGTCCCTAATGAATTTAAAATATTTTATGATCAAGTATAGCATAATACACAGAAAAAATTTTATTTAAGTATTAATTTAATAACAAAACTTGCATTTTATTTTTTATATGCCCAAATATTTTTCCCTATACAACATGTATGATTGAATTAGATTTATTTTATTTTAGGGTGCAGGTTCCCGATACAATCAAGCATAAAAATCAACCAATGAATAATATAAAGACTTTTCACAATAAAAAAATAAAAAGTACAACCCGGTATCATCCATTAAACAAAATAGGATTCTCCATATATGTCTACCTTTCTGATGAAAAAAAGTGTGAAGGAAACTAAGAGCATCTTTACAAGTAACAAACATCCATATAATATAGATCAAGCTCCTTATGTTCATAGGGGATAAAATATGTAATACTTACGGAGAAGAGAGGATGTTTTCAAATTTGTAATTCAGAAAGAATGCCAATAACCCAAGTATGCTTGCGACATCCAAACGTACCTGCAACATAAAGCATAGCAAATAGAAACCAATGAATAGAGAAAGAGCACACGTAAAAGTGGATATCAACAAATGATAATGAGATGTAGCACTAAATCAAATGTAAGGCGGTTTCTTATAGGCAAGCTAAAACAAGGAAAAATGCAAAAATATAAGTAGAGAGTCATAGAAATGGTTGTAGTGGATCTTTGCATCTTAAAACATGCTATCTAAGACTTCAATTTCTGCAATATGTAGCAGTTAAGAAAATGCTGTCAAGTAAAACTGCTAAGAGAAAACACTTTCTTGGCCGGCACAGGTTCAATGTTGTATCCTGGTAGGGCAAAACTTCTTTTCAAACCCAAAAAATAAAAATGAATTTATTCCCCATCCTTTCAATTTATTTGCTTTTCACACCTACTGCTATAAAAGGCATATGGATGGCTAAATGACCATTTCGTATTATATATATATATAATCCCTCTCCCTCACCTTCTCATTATTCCTCTCCATCTCTTCTCCCCTCTTCCACATTTCTCCCTCATGCATGGCTCAAGCAACTCTATTTCATTTTCTCTCAAGCTCTTTGCACCTCCATCTCACTCCATCTCTATTGCAAAAATCCAAAAGAGACAAGTAAAATGGAGGATGAGATTGAGCATTTTGCATGCAGTTCAAACGCCCCATTTTTGGTGTAGCAGGAAAAGTCAACCCGCATCCAAGTGTTTCGAGTATCACCCATACGCATTTCACCTTAATGCGGTGATAGACTACTTACAGTGGCCCGCATAACACCCAGACATGCTCTATTTTGCATGTAAATCTTCATGTACCAAAATTTGCCTTAATTTTTTGGACAAAAAAAAAGTACAACAACAATAATAACATCAAACATTTATCCCACTATGTGGGATCGGCTACATAAATCCTTTTTCTCCATTTTGTCTTATTAAGAGTCAAATTCTTATTTAAATCTAATTTAAAAATTGTCATTTCTAATATTTTTTAACCAAACCTTTGTAGGTCTACCACTACCTCTCGTAACATAGGCCAAATCCAATACATCTACTCTCCTAATCGGGTCATTGGAAGACCGATATTTTATGTGACCAAACCATCTAAGGCGACTCTCTATAATTTTATCTACCACTGGATAAAAATAAGATTGTTAGCATAAAATAATGACAATAAGTGATCCTAAACTCAAGTTTGTTGATGAACAAAAGAGAAAAATTAACTCAAAAAGCATGCAACAAAAACTATTGATATAAATTTGTAGCACAGATTACGGGAAACTCGTAGTTGATAAGCCGCAAAAATAGGTAGCCTTGCAAGTGAAAATGAACATAGAGTTGCACCAAAAAAATGTACAAACTGGTTCATCAAAATGTGTGACATTATACACCAAAAAATATAAAAAAAAATAATGCAATATACAATGCTCAAAAGCAGTGCAAAGTGGAACATAAAAAAATATGTTGCATCCACATTATAAAATATGCAATTTAACGCATAATAAATTATGCAAAGTAATGAATCTTAAGACATGCAAAGCAATGCTAAAAACAAGTTTACATCAAAAAATGATGCAAGATGCATCATAAAGCATTCAGTGTGAAACATTGAAAACATGCCATAATATACACTTAGAAGAACCTTGATGAAATATTTGCTAATCCAAAGAAGAAATTTTGAACAGGAAATAACCCATATTAGTTAACCAAGTAGCCTAAGTCAGATTTGTCAAACAAGAACATAGACCCACAAGGTTTATCCTTCTCTCCAAGGCGTTGCCGCACTACCCAAGCTCTCGTTACCCATCAAATATCTTACACGCTAGCTGTCTCATCTTTGCACTCTTATGTATTATGCGTTGCCATGTGTAATCGAGCGCTCCCACGAATATATGCACCCACGAATGCGCGCATGCATGTGCCACCACGAGTCTCGCGCTTGCTTCATAAAATGGCCGCTCTAGGGCCAACTATGGTTCATCCATGCACTCATTCTCTCTTATTGATTGTGTTATACTTTTTTAGCATCTTTCTTCCCCTGTTCTAGATTCATGCCGCTCTTATCCTTATCTCTTCTAGGCTGCTCTCACCAACTCTCCCCACGTCAATCCCTATTCCTTTGCAGTCCCATCTAGCCTTGCCTACGAGTGCAGAGGTTCCTCCAAGTTGTCCTTCGTCTCTAGTGTCAATGGTTACTACTAGCTCAGAGACCCATCCTACCATTCTTTGGATACTGCGTTTGTTCTCAGTCATCATACTCTTGCTAAAGTGGTGGGTGGACTTTCAGGTTCAGAATTGTACCCCTCTTCTGCCACCCTTTTCTTTTATATTTAATCAAGATTCCATTCCATTACAGCACACGAAACCATCTTCCTTTCAAGGGAAACCTACTACATTGATTCCAATAGATTGAAGAGTAATTATTCCGAAAAAAATATTTTCAAACCTACACTTGATGAACAATTATTCCACTAGATTGATTGATTATGACAATATTATTATAATATTTTCTTCAAATACAGACTACACATGACTCTTCCCCATGTGTACTTATTATGCCAATCGTTTTCCAATGCACATGCTTTACTGGTTCTTTAATTTAATGCATTTGTAGAACCTCCAACACTCCAGTCCGGGTTGCATTTTCTTGCCTTCCACTGTATTTATTCAACCAATCCACTTCGCACTCTTTTAGGTTTTATCTTTGGTAAAACTTTACAAATGGATACTGCTGCGACTCAGCTTTCAAGATCTTCTGTGGTTAGAGTTTTGAATGAATGGACATTATGTTACCGATGGAAGATAAAAATATAAATTGGTTCAAGGTCTTCTAATTGCTGGAATAAGGTAGTTTTTGAAGGCGTTCCCCTAATTGTTCTTTTAAAAAAAATTTCCCATTTTTTAGAAAATTAAATGTTTAAATGCAAGATGTTCACTTAAATGGTTAGACTATAATTAATTCCGCGATGGTTGCTGCTCATTCATCAACTCTTCAAGTTTGATTGTTGCCCCATAAGAACTTTAATATATTGTTCCCAACTTTGCTTGCCTTAAAACATGGTTCTTACATCTTATGTTAATAAAAGGATAGTTTTTGATTCTCCGTTTGTGATTATTCCCCCTCTACATCCCATTAGTGAAGACTCAAACAGTCATGATACTCAACAATAAGATGATTCTGCTGGGAGTAAAATAAGTGATGACGTTTTGATTAATAGAAGGTTCCACGTCCTATTTACCAAATAGGGTTGCAATCAGAAGAAAATATATCACCATTCTCTATCCTTCACCAAGCTTTAAACAAGACCATCCAATTGAGCTCTCATTATGCTTTGTTGCTTTTCAGTACTATTAAATATTTCATACATCCACTTCACACTTTATGTATGCTCGTTTGTAATTTTCTTTATAGCATACAATTCTACTTAATTGCCCCTGTTGTACTCTCATCATTTTCTTAATATAATATTGCGCTTTGAGAAAAATTATGCACTTTTGTTAATGAGACTTTTGACAAATTGAATCCCATAATAATTCATGCGAGACTTTTTTATGCAAATGCATCACAAGTCAACCCACATTAAAGCACGTGCAAACTCATCTTATAGTTCAAAATTTCCTTCACATTCCTCCCCCAATGACATTATGTCGTCGCACAATGAAATCAAATCAACTGAGAGAATAAAAATAGGGAATCTAGTAATAAAAATGCAAAATACACAATAAAACATATAATGCGGGAAAACAAAAAGGGTGAAGTTGATAGGGCTTGCATTATGATAATAATCCAAATCACAAAAGAATAATAATGGGCTGTCTTGCCCTATTGGGCAAGGTTTCAAGCCCCTACCCTTAGACCTTCTCGCCGTTGACCTCCAATCCCATTCCACAATCAATTCAATCGAACGCGACAAGACGACAAATAACAGTTGTGGCATCATGCAAATTTTTGGACCCATCAATCTTAACATTATCTGCTGGACATCGCTTCATCCAAGTGGTGGCTATTTTTTTTTTCTAAGTTACTTAAGCTACTCCATTCAAATCAATCAATGTGAAGCACATGATCAATTTCTTTACCAACAATGTTATCTACAAATTTGATGTGCCACTCCATATTATCTAAGACAATGACTCAAACTTTTAAAACATCAAACCATATGGATTTGTTGGCCAACACAAAATTGATTGCTAATAATATATAATCCAAAGACAATGGTTAGGAGAAGCTTTCAACAAAACATTAATTAAACTACGTAAGAAGATCATCACCAAAAATAATAGAGAATGACATACATAAATGATAAAAATATTAAGGGCATATTGAACTACCTACAATCCAATATGTCTTCTAAAAATTTAACTTGAGACCAAACACTATTAGAAGAGCAGGACATAAATTTTCAATGCTCACACTTTATTATCAAAGTTGCAAATCCCATTTTAAAGTGATACTATATATATATAAAAGTTGAGTTGACAAGATTAACTTCATGATGGATAACATTCCCAAGCTAACCTACAAACTCTTGATTTGATTATAATAGACAATATGATATCAAAAAAAAAAAATGAAACCATGAAAAAAAAGAATATTTGGTTAAAGGCTACACGTGCAAAACAACAAGATACGGACATTTAAGAGCATAAATTTGTCAATTGATAAGTACATCATATAAAATCATCCTTAACAGTTTCTTAAGATAAATTTCTAAAGCAAAAGAATAATCAATAGGAAATAAAAAATAAATGACGTAACGAGATAACATACAGTATCTAGAATCCTGAATGACAGCTTCTTGTGAGGAAAAATGACCTGCATATGAATTGCATCTATATTAATGATGTTATTTTCTATCAAATACACAAAAGATAATAGGAACTTTAGAGAACAGTCATCTATGTAGTTACCGGAAGATCTGGAATAGGTATTCTCTCATAAATCTTCAAATGCAATCGTAAAGCATCATCCGTATCTTCCCTTTGATTTCGCTCATCAGTATAAAGCAGAATCAATTCTTCAAAAGCAGGCTCCTGATTTATAACTATACTTGAAAGTTAAATATCTGATGCAAAATTAGAAAGCTGGTAAATGTCCAACTGCTTATTCAACTAAAAGAAAAAAAAAAGTTTAAGAAGATGCTTTGGAGATGAGCAAACAGATACAACACAACAAACCAATTAAAACATTTCAGAGGAGGTTACGAAATTAAAAAGAAATTATTGAAACTTGTACACTCTCATGTGTTTAGCGTTACTTCCCTAACGCAAAGATGAAAACAATTGTTTGCAATAAATGAAACTAATTTCAATGAAATTTAATAAGCAAATGATTAATACCTGAAGAATTGACCTTGAAAATAAAATTGACACGGCAGTACTCAATATTTTCCAAACATTGTTTCCACAAGATTCTTTTGAAGCAGGTTCCCATAAGTTGCTAAGAGTAATTCTTTGTAAGAAGTTTGGCCTAAAGAGAAATACCATTATACTGTATAAATTGTATGAGATTAAGAAAAAAAAAGCACATTAAGATGATTGAATTCAAAAGGCATCACTTTAGTCTGCCTGTATGTTTATTATCAATAGAAAGCTTATGAATATGGTTCTTGTTGAAAATAAAAAATTGGGACAAACCTTTCCTCTAAAAAATTAGGTGAAATCCAAAAGGATAAAACAACGCAGGTCATACATATAATTTCACTACTTCTCAATATAAAGATACATCTATGTATAAATGGAAGCCTGAATTGCAAATGAACGAGTTCCAAGCAGCATGACACCAGCCAATGGCTTCGTAAGAAGGAAACAGAAAAACTAGAGAGCAATACAAAGACGAGGTCCTCCATAACCACTGTACATAAAGAGTAATCAATTTTACAGTCTTCAAACAAGCAAAAAGATATATTTTGACACCTCTAAAATCCTATTAATGGAAAGTTTCAGTACAACAGATGGACACATAAGGAAACAACCAATCTAACATGGTTGGTATGGATGAGACTCAAGATCAAGCCAATAATATGTGGATTTCGCAAAAAAAAAACCGGAATTTAAGAGTGGCAGGTTTCTGTATGCTTTGAAAAAGCAAAAAGTGAATATATATATATATATATATCTTGGCAATGGTTTTAATAGAAAATACTAAAAATTATATTTTTTTTATTAAAATTTATTGAATACAATATTATGTTCATTGAATGTTATGTCCTATTTTTTAGTTATATTGTCTTGTTGTGTATGTATCCCTTTGTCACAAATCTTGATTCTTGAATAATTTTTTGACAAAAAAACACCACCACCAACAACAAGTCTCTATATCATTATGTGGGTTTGGCTACATGAATCATTTTTCTCCATTGTGTCTTCTAAAGAGTCAAATTCTCATTTAAATATAATAAACAAATCATTGTTAATACTAACCAAGTCTTTTTAGATATACATCTATTTTACTTAATATAAGTCAGATCTAATCCATCTACTTTCCTACCATAGTCATCATAAGGCCAACAATTTATGTGACCAAACCATCTAAGTCGACTCTCTCAACCCTTATCTGCAAATGGCACTACTCCAACTATTTCATGCATATACTCACTTGCACATTTTGTCTCTAAGTGTAAATCCACTCAACCACCTAAGCATCCTCATCTCGATAATACTTAACTTAATTTTATGCTACATGAATTCTCAAAATTATACTGATAGATTTTTTATCTCCTAAACCTGTTTGACATAATTAGAGATAGAAGGATTATTTCTATCAATAAAAATTACTTATAAAGCCCTTATCTCTTATTTTCTTACAAGGAACAGTCTATTGGCTAGGCGTTCTAGAAGTTAATGGGATTTTTCCTTAGAAAGAGAGTTTTTTGGTGAGTTTTTTCACAGGTTTCTGAGTTTTCGGAATGAGTTACCAATTTTTGGTGTAGATTCCCCAAGCTTTGAAGAGGAGAAGAGGGGCTCGAGACATAGTGGAGTTCAGGATTCTGCCATCATTAGCGCCAAAGCTTCTAAAGCACACTCCGATGGTTGTCAAAGGAATCGGCAGTGAAACACTGCAGTTTGGTATTACCGAAGGCAGTGTCCAGCCACATCTACCCTTGTGTATTAGCCAAACGGAATCTGTCTAGCAATTCATAGAAATTCAACAATCCATCAAACTTCATAAGGACGTTGGCCTTCTAAAGTGATCTTCAAAGTGATGTAGGCAAAGAATGGGTCAAAACAAATATCAGCTCATTAATGCCGAGTAGAGAACCTTTTTAGCTCATAAATTGAGGTTCATTTCCCCATTTGTTGTCCCTTTGGTTCCCGTGGATAGTTCCCTGGTTCCCGTGGCTTGACCCTTTGGTTCCCGTGGTTGTCTGCTGGTTTTCCGTGCTGGGTGATTTTCCCGTGCCTTGGTGCCTCGGTTCCGTGCGGGCCTCTTGGGTTTCCGCGGCTACCTCTTCGGGTCCCTGGCTAGGCGGTTTCTGTGGCTGATGGGGGCTTTTCCGTGGCTTTGGTGCTTTGTTCCTAGCATAGAATTATGTGGCTTTTATTTGCTTAGAATGTGAAAGGTTTTTGGGGCTGTTTGTATTCCCCTCTCATGCCTATATATATATAGATGTTTTTGAATGTTTTAAGTTAAGTTATGTGAATGATTTTTTGAAATGTAAACCCGCGGGTTTCTTGGAAAAGCTTGCGAGCTTGTTCCACTTCTTCTTCTATCTCTTGGGGAGACTTGTGAGTTCTTTCCACCATTCTTCTCGGCTTCTAACCTCTTTCGTCTCTCCGCAAGTATCCACTCCATTGTATCATTCTTCTCTTGGAAAGCAAGTTTAGGGTGTCTTGTTTGAGCCAAGTTGTAAGAGTCTTTGTTTGTAAGTCGTTTTAATTTGTCAAAGTTTGTAAGCATCTTGAAAGTGTCTTAATATTATAAAGTGAAGTTATTTGTAGCTTATTTGTGTTCTTTCGTGTCTTTTCTATTACTTAGAAAAGTTTTATTTCGTAATAAAAAATTTGGGTCCCTCCCCAAATTTTTGATTGCACCACAAAGAGAGGGTTTGGCAGAAATAATACTCTATTGAGAGCAACAACGTTGCTCAAAAAGATTCAAGAAGTCCAATATATTGGTTATTAGGTCAAGGAGGAGACATTTGAGGTGCAAGAAGCCTTCCGTTAGGTTATCTGTTTTCCATTTCTTGATGATAAATTATATTCTTGTCAAGAAAGCAGTGATCTACTGATATTCTCTTAGTTTTCTTTCAAGTGGCTGCGGTTTCCAGCCATCCTATAGCCTCTCCACCACTATGTACGAGACAAGAAGGTTCCAGCTGGTTTGCTATTTGGACGGGGTTAAGGATTAAGTCGTTGGATAGCAATCACTAAGTTCAATGCCGGCCAAACTGTGACTTCTGATTCCTTCGAGAAAAAAAAAAAAGACAGAAGCAATTGTAGAAGAACCTGAAGGCCAATTGCAAGCAACAGTGGGGGTAAGATTTACCGAGAATCTGAGAAGGGACAACAAGTTATTGGGGTATATCTTTTTATTGTGTAATCTTCCAAACAATTATAATCTATCTTTAAAATTGTTCTTCTCAGTTTTTCAGTCATTGATCAGTAGTTTTTATAGAGTTCCTGTAGTTGTTCCGTGTTATAAGAATTCTAATCCATTTTCACACACCCAACCAATGTCATTGATCAACTTTTTCAGTACAACTGACCTCAGAAAACTCAAGACACTGCTCCCCCAACTAAGAAAATCTTCATGATGTGAAACAATCATGGAAAGATGAGATGCTTAAAGACATTTGCACGTTTAGTTTTAGAGAACAATAATAAGCAAGATCTCATGTTGATTTGAACGATAAAATAAAATATTAAAGTGATAAATAGCATTAGTTAAATTACATGCATAGAAGTTAAGAGCATAAAAATCAATCAATTTAATCCACTTTTGCATTCGTGAATGGTCTCAATAATAAATCCCTTTGTTAACATTAAGACTAGCTACTACAAGGAAACCTTGTCTTAAATAAAAGCAAAATTCCACCTCAAAGCTTCTGAATTCTGGTTTGCACATGCATGCATCATGATGACAATATCGTAGTTTTGGGAACTTGCTTCTAACCATATATATGCTTTGTTAAGCTTGCATACAAGGAATGAAAGTTTTTAAAATTGTAACATATAGATATCTTCATCATCATAAAAAGCATGCCTAAACAGGTATCTGAATTCAAGAATATGGACATGTCCCAAGCATAATCTAAAAGTTATAATAAAGCTTTCAAAAAGAAAATTCACAAGACATTAGTCATATAACAGGGCACCAATGCCACAAAATGACAAATTGCAAGTAAAATTCACAAAACCAACATCAAGTGATTTTAACAAGATCTGGCCATCATGGTTTGTGGTTTACACCAATCATTTTCTCTTTGAGTATGAATCTAGCCCAGGATATGATCGTGTTACAGAATAGAAAATAAAGCTCAAGTTAGATTTATCTAGAAAAAAAGGACGTAAAGCATATCCACGCAAACTTTATTCAGTATCTACACCCCAACTAAAATAAAAACGTGAAAAGGAGGACAGGAGAATAAGAAATAAACGGTAATCTGTAAACACCAAAATAAGATCATAGAAAGACATATTTCACTCTCAATTTCACTCTCAAATCAACTAATGTTATATCACAACAGAAGCACCTAATTGACTGGATAAAGCAAAAAAGTTATTATTTTAAATACAGACAAGCAAACCACATTGTTTTCACCAGTACCAACCTCGAATCTGTTTCTGAAGAATGGGTATCTCTATCAAAATCAACTGATACTTCTGGCATTGAAGGAACCAATCCAACCCAAGTAAGAAGTTTCTTCATTAATCTTCTCCTTGGTCCAACTACTGACAGAAACCCTTCATATCGAGGAACTGCTCTTTGTGCGGCTAGCCAAATAGGAAGGTCGCTGTCTCCCATTATATCAGATCTTAGCTGGTTTCTAAGGAAGTATTGTCCGTAGGACCAAGTTCTTTCTAGAGAATATTGATCCTTAAGCCAAAGTTTTGCTGCATCGATCCTTGCCGTCACACTTTGTGCCTTATTGAAACCTTTTAGTGTCTGATTGAGAGAACAAAAATGTTACTAGAGGGCTGATATGAGAATTCCCTAATATTCATGTTCTTTAAAAATAATATTAAATATATACAGAACATGGAGCAGGATACACTGCTTAACTAGCCAAACAAAGCAAATTTCCATGAGAAGACAATCTGAAAATAGAACATCAAAGCCAAAAACCAGAAAATTCTACATTAGTTGAAGGCCTCAGCCATTTGACATAACTGGTAAAGGTTCATTTAATAGCAATGATCATCAATGCAGCTCAGACCTTAAGATGCAATGGCTAAAGGCACCCTGATTAGCATACACTTGAGTGAATCTTTTAAGTTGATACCAAAATTTTTCAAAAACAAACAAGATAAACAAGAAAAAAGCATCATAGGGAAAATTTCTCAATAAAAATACATCATGGTACGCATTTTTTGCGTTGACTCGACTCAAATCAAGTCAAATCAGACCCGATCTGGATCAATCGAACCCGATTCACTAAATCAAGCCTCGTTGAACCAAATTTGACGTTGTTTCGAGCCAAATTTTGCTAAATTGGCTTGATCGAACCCAAATCGATCCTGTTCGAGTCCAATTCGAGCTCAGTTTCAACCAAATTGGCCTAATTTGGGCTCATTTAACCTTTCCAAATCTGGAAATCAAATCCAACGGCTCCAATTTAATTCAGAGCTGCTACAATGTCCTTTCCTATCGAATCATGTCTGATTTCAGTGGTTGTAGTAGATTATCTCGGCAAAAAATTTAATCATGTGGGATTTACCACTTTTCCTATATAGAGAGAACAAGAGAGCAAGGAAAAAGAACATTTGACTTGGTATGATTTGTGTGTCTGACCAAGAACAAGCAAGTGTGCGAGAATCGTCCATGTGTGCTTTCTATCCTGTCGAGCCCCTGCGTGCCTTCTGCGTCCGTCTGAGCAGAGTCGAGAAGGAGAGAAGAGCAAGGTTCTTTTCCTACTCACGTGCGGTCCGTCCATGCGTGAAGAAGAGGTTGATGTTTGGCCTCTTGCGTGCGTCCAAAGCTGATCGTGCAATAGTCGTGCAACCAGAAGCCAAACCGAGAGCCTTTGTGCGTGTTTAGGATAGGATCGAACATCAGGGAGATTGTGTCCCATATTCCTGCATGTATCCCGCCAAACCAAGTACCTAGGAGTTAGATTGCTGCTTCCTATTATCAGTGATTGGGGAAACAGAAGTTAGAAGGCTATTGTGGCCTCTCATTTCCGTCTAGGAAGAGTCTAGGAGCTTCTTCTTCCTCCTCCATCAACTCTGACGATTTCTTGACAATGAAAAAGACTTCCGAAGCAACTTGGACAGCAACGACTACATTCAGAGTGGCCTGGATAGCGGACTTCTTCCTACCTTCCCCCTCAATCTCATCTTTGCAAGGCGAGTGTATGGTAGTTGGGGCCGTGACTACCCGGTGAGGTAAAATCCCTAGCTCTCTAAGCCTTGGTTGCATGTTTGGCTCTCCAAAGTCATAGATCCATAGAAACCCATGCATTTAAATTTCCAAAACCCAAAATAAAACATATGCTTTATGCTCAAAAAATGGCGGAAATCCGGCGGTTTCCATTTATTTATTGTCACATGAGTGTTCGAGAAGGACACCATCACGCATATGGTTGTCGGATTTGCGTCTGGCAACCTCCAAATACATGAAACATCACTCATATTGCATGTTTAACCTTCCCTACAAAATAACCATAGGTTAGGCGATCTTTTCTCGCCTCAAAGTGAATGTCGAAGTTAGGCTTCCTTGCATTGCAGGTCATGCTGTCCATTCTCTGATGCTAAAGTCATGACAAAGTTGAAGTACGTTAACTTGCATTTGTTGGGTTTGTAATTCATCTAAGTACAAATCATATAAGTATGTTTGTTCAATTTCAAATGTTATTTGAACTAAAGTGATAATTCCTGTGAATTTTCAATATTCCTAGGCTATGCTCTATCTCGTATTGAAATTTTGCAAGCATATTTATATGATATCTGATGAGGTCATCGACAGACATTTTAGGCAGGTCTACCGGCGAAGGAATCGTAGATCGACGGCTACGATTGGGAGCTTTATTTCTGATGTTGCCATGTCATCTTATGTTATTTTCTATGTATCTTTTATTTCAAGCCTTAGTTTACTATTTTGCCCTTATGAAGGTTTAGTCTTTATTGTAGCCCGGTGGGCATTTGAATCATGTTATTTTATGAGACCCTTATAAAGAGGTCTCCTCCTATTGTATTAGCTTAATGTTTGATTAATAAAATTCTGAGATTTTCATTCTTCTTTTCTTGCTTGAGAGCTTGAGAGAAAGAGAGGAGACCTAGGAGAGGCTCCACCCGAAGTACCCAACAGCCCACGTTGGTGAGCTCTTGGTTTTATTTTATTTGGTTCGCTGTTTTCTCCTTCCCCACCAAGCCTCCATACACCCAACCCCTCATCTTGCCCCTCTTCCCGTCTCCCAGCAGCCATCCCCGTCAAAAACCCCCAAACCCGCCGGCCCCGGAAC